CCTATTCCTCCTTCCTATTTACATGTTGGAGACACCAAGATACTAGAATGAGTGGAGGAAAGGGTCTAACAAGCATTTCAGCATATTTGTGCTTATTTAACACATCAACCCCACTACTTCCTACACTGAGAGAGCAGGCGATTTGTAGGCACTAGTATATTTTTATCTTATGAGTATATTTGATATAAACTAAAACTTTATTTCTCAGCCAGGCTATCCTTGTCCCTAGGTCTGCCAGTCCCCATGGAAAGTCTGCCCTTGAATTTGTTTCAAGGGTGAGGAAGAACAGATGTATGGGACTGATATTAAGTGGTCTGGAGGTGATACCCAGCAGCCAGAAGCTTTTCTACTTGCTACAGAAAGGCCAAACATGAAGGCTGGCATGAGGACTGAGAACAGGGCCCCTTCCCACCAGGATGGGGTGCTGCATTTCCTCCTCCCTGTCTTGGACTGCATGAGACTGCTTCTACCTGTAGCAACTGAAAAGTCCTAAATTCATGAAAACAATGAGATAATGCAGGTGAGCCCTTGGAAGGAGCCATCTACTACCATGGCTTTTTTTGACAGAAACTGATGCACTTCAGGAAATTTCCACTGTTATCCCTCACTATGGTCTGTTTGCTTGCTTGGGTTCTTCTTATGTCACCGATGAAGGGGTGGCTTTAAAAACAACAACGTGGATGGGACTGTCAGAGAGTCTTTCAGTCTTTCAGTCTTTTCTAATAACCTGAGTTATTAGAGGTTATCTTGGCCTACAAGGCCACTGCAGTACGGGGTGCTGTGGCCACCCCAGTCCTTAATGAGTATCTACAATGCACGAGGTCATATCAAACAGTCACCTCTGTTTTGCTTGCTGTGCGGTAGTGATGGTGGTGTCCTGGGATATAATGCAGTTGTTCTACCGTGTTGTGCCGTCGGGAGGCGAATGCCTGGCGCTTGGCAGAGGTTGGGGTCATACCTAAGGTATTGTACAAGTTATTTGAGGCACTAGGATGGGAGTGCATTTTTGTCATCCTGTAGCGATCCAAGACAGGTGTTGATACAAAGACGTCTGTGTGTGACAATGCCCGTGACATAGACTGCTCGGGGTACCCCGACCGCTCCGGAGAGAGCAGGGGGTCCTGGGAGTGGAGGCGCTCTGCGGACAGAAGCTGCTCATCTGAGAGGATCCGTTCATAGGACAGGCTAAACTCCTCGGGCATGATCCTCTCAGGAGACAGCACTCTGTCCTGGGACATGGCCCTGATGGGACGGCGAGGCCTGTCCCTGTGGTTGGTTTGTTGAGACATTTTGATGACGTTGATAGGGAGTGTGCCCCTGGCTGCCAGGTCAGGTAGGTGTCTCCTCCTCATGTAGTATTCATCAGCCTCTTTGTCAGCTGTGGGAAAGCAAAGGGAACAATTAGAAACGTCAGAGCATTGTCCCCTGGGGTGAAAAGGGGCTGTGTACAGCACACAGACTTGGAGCAGCCTCCTGGTAAGACCTGAGGGACAATCAACTGGCAGCTAGACCTGAGCATGGACATCCATGTCTTGGTGCTGCCTGTCAGAGAGATGCCAGCCCTGTGTGAGTTGTGTCTCCATGGGCTTAGGGCAGACAGAGAGTTATAACTGCATGTAGACAGGTATAAATCCCTGTGCAATGGATTGCACCTTCTCACACCATGACACAACAGACTCCACATACTGTCCAGTCCAGACCATGGCATCACATGATTTACATGAAAAGCGAGTTATGGAGATATTCTTAAATGTCACCTTCACAAATACACTTATAAGAAAGCACATGGAAGGTGAGCTGAGGCAGGTGAGTTCCCATTAGAGGAAACTCAGACCTTGTTTCTGGCCTCAGATGTGGATATGTTCTGGAATCTGTGAGTGCCCTCATCACATTTTTAATTACTATTTTTGAATATTTGAAAATGTGATCACCCAGCAGGTTTGGTGGGCATGGGGTGCTATCTCTGAGACATTGAATCAACTGCCTACGGGTTCATTTTCAATATTTTCAGGCGCCTTGATTGCTATCATAGAATTTATCTCATGGAAGGTTTATTTCTCAGTTTGCTTCTTCTGTGTCTTAAATGATGTCTGGGTTTCAAAGAAACTCAGCACACACACACATACCCACCCTCTCCTTTTTGGCTTTCAGACTAATGCTTCAGACTCAGAGAGGATGTTGGCTGCTGCAAATATACCCTGATATATCACTTTAATCCTACAGCAGCTGGAATGATCTGATTCAATCAACTTGAATCAGCTCCACAATTATTTCAGACTGAAAAAAAACCCAAAACCAAAAAACAACAGAAACACAAAAACTTTCTGTAAACTCCTTTGATGTTCATATGCTTTAAATTGGGGTACTGAGAATACCTACCTGGAAGAAGGTTTAGCAGCCCTTGGGCTTCAAGCCCAGGCAGTTTGTGAACTGTCATAATGTACATGTGGCTGCAGAGGTGTAAAGCACAGAACATCAGTCCCCTGCCAGAAGTGTACCATCATGAGTGGAAGAGCACAGCACTGGCCTCCATGAGTCAGAGGATGAATGCATGTTTAATGCTCAATACTGATCATTTGTATGAGCCTTCCTCCTCATTTCTTTGCCCGATATGTTTTCTTGATGTGTCCAAAATCATCTCCCATCCTTTCTGGCTCATCAGTCACTTCAGAAGAACTTAGAGTGAGACTCATCCCAGACACTTGGCAGGCAGCCATCATCTCCTTGGAGGAGACAGCACAACACCCACCGGTGTGCAAGAAGGGGATTCCTCATGCAAAGATAACACAAATTTCTCCACCTTACAAAGGAAACAAAGTCTTTCGCAAAGTAACTTTACGGGATCAGCCTGGCATGGAGACTACAGAGCTGGGAACACACACACATGACCCAGTAAGCATTTTCCCTACCAGTCTTGAGCTAGGTGTTGATGGATAAAGACATAATCTCCTATATGTTCTTGCCAGCTTCTGGGACCTATCATAAAATTAATTTGGAAAGTCTTTTGCTTATAAAAGAAATATGATAAGGATATATGATAATGATAATAATGAGGAACCCCACTGATTTTCTCAGCTCCAGTATTTTATTCAGTAGTAGGTGATGTAAGATGGGAAAGTATCAGATGGTGGAAAGGAAAATTTCACATGCATGGACTTTCTGAGGATGTTTGAGTGACAAAAAGAACAAAGCTGTAGGACAGCTGTAGGACAGCTGTCCTCTGCTGTAGGACAGTTTGGGCAATCATGAAGCAAGTGAGGTAGATGGTCCCTCTTCCAATGCTTAGAGTCTCTGTAGGCATTCATCAGACTTAGTAAATATGGTGTGGAAATTTCCTAGTTCCTCTAAAATAACTAATAATTCTACAGGTTTAAAGCACCACATTGGCTGAGAAATGAAGACAATTGGCCAGCTGTCCAATGAAGCAGAATCCTTTGGAGGAAATGTCAATGACTTATGATATGTGATTGGTGTTGACAACATCCCAGAAGTTTGCTCACAAGACAACAGTTACACATTGGTGCCTTAAGGTCTTCAGCCAAACCCTGGGGTGCTGTATGCATCCTGTGCTGGATGATCTCACTCACTAATTTCCTCATCTCCTCTCCCACACAGTCAGAGCTGTTTTCAATGCCCCTTGGACACTGCTCCTCATGGTCCTGCACACAGTCCATGGAACCCAGAGGGTCTGTGAGAAGGATGGTTGAGCCCTCTGTCCCAGCATCCAAAGGGTATGAGCTGAGAACACGTGTGCTGAAATGCACGGCCTGTTGGCACTGCTGTTGCTGTCAACTTCTTCTTCATAGCCTCTGCTCTACTGGCATGCTTGCTGCTGACAGGATTTTCTCTCCACAGTATATATTGTAGGAATGAGTCGTTTTGGTTTTTTTTTTTTTTTGGGGGGGGTTTTTTTGTAATCAAAACCTTTTTGGAAGAGGATCTCATTGCAAATGTCAGATAGCAGCTCCCTTGGCCTCAAACCCCTGTGTCTTTAAAATCACCTTCTAGGAAGTCTGAGAAGACCTGGGAAAATTCCATATGGCCAGAGTAATTTTAGACATTTTTAATTCTATAATGTGGCGGCAGATAGACTTGCACACATTTTCTGTGCACAGGCTTGATAACGATGCTTGAGGCTGGGTGCAGAATGGGAGCTAAGCAATTACTGCTCTGGCACTTGGCCTCTGCTCTGGATGAGAGAACTTCCACTGGATTTGCCCAAGTGACTCTAAATAGATGTAATTAAAGCAGAGAACATCCCAAATGGAGATGTGCTTGGATGCTCACCTTGCTGTGGTAATTGCCAGCAGGAGCTAAACCAGCTTATGTGAGGTTCACAGTGGTCTGAGTCTGCTAGTGAGGCAGCAGAATCAGCAGATTAAAAGTGGTTTGAAGTTGTTCCTGGCTAATTTGGATTAAAAATGCAGAACGTGCTACACTTTAAAAGTTTTGCCAATTAGGAGCATTAGAAACATCTTCTCCTTCCCTGTAAGCAGTGTAGAAGTCTGCGTGGCCTTTTGTTGGCAGCGGCTAAACCATTCAGGGAACTGATTTCATTTCAAAGGTGTTTCTAAGCTCGCACAGGCTGCCTCCTCCTGTGGTTCTGAGAGACATTTAGAAGTTGGCACAGTTATTCCAAGAACATTTTCAGGTGTAGGCAAACTTCTCATCTCCATCGCAAAGGTATCAAAGCTGGAACGGCAGTTTCCCATGAACAACACGTTGGTTTAAGCAGACACCAGACAGACATTTAACAGGCTGTTGCCTCTGAAAGAAAGTGTCAGTTCATGAGCACTGCTTAACCAGTCATGGAGAAAGTAGCTCGATGAGAGGCCGCATGTGCTCTATCACACACGTGCCTTCATGCTGAGGGAGAAGCTGTAACCGCAGCATTTCTGCACTCGGCGAAAGCAAGGAGACAAACACAGCCCCAGGCTTTTGAGTTGGAGGCACCAGGTGCTGCACCCAGTCAGTGGAGGTGGGAACTGTGGACATCTGGTTGCATAGTTTACTCAGATCAAAATGACTCCAGGACCTGAACCATCCAGTCTGATTCACCTCATCCTCATTGCACCAGCAAGTCCACTGGGATAGTGAGGCTCTGATACTGCTACGCCTTATCTGTCTGTTGACACTCACATGAAAACTGACATTTGTAATTTTAGCCCAAATCAAATGACAATCAAATAGATTTCTCCCTCATGGATGTGCTTAAAAATTAAAAAATGTGTCCTAAGTGGATTCCGAAAGGCCATAATTGATGAGCAGACAGAAAGAAATCACTGGCCTATTGATTGACAACATTTTCATTTTTTTAAGCCAGTCTCATACTGGTCTTTCTTCTAAGGCTTCACTAATCTTTTTCAAACCTGTGGAAGTGGAATCACTGGAAATCACATTTTCTGCTCAATTTCTGCTTTTTTTTTTTTCATTGGGTTATTTTTTTATTTCCCCCTCTTTCTTTCCTACTTTGGCAGTTTATGGAACATTGACCAGAGCCGGTCTCACCAAACTTGAGTGTTTATCTGACTTGGCTTTAGGAAAAGATTATTTGCTCTCAGGTAGCTTTTTTTCCCCTCCCATTTAGAGGGAGAGCCCCAAATGAGTGCTCTTTCTCACAGATCTCACCTCAGCATGTCTAAGATGCCATGGCAGAAAGGCAGAGCACAGCTCCCCTGACACTGTTATTAAGAGAAACGAGGTACATTTGTGGTGTTCTGGGAAGAGAAAGTGAAGAATCAAGGATATTTTTTTCTTCCCATGGTTAAAATATGTGTACATATGTCTGTATGCAAGACCATTATAGTAATTACTTTGCTTTTCTTTGAGCTAATTTCTTTGCTTTTCTTTCTCTGCAGTTCTACAGTATTTCCTCCTTGGGTTTGTCTCTTCTGTTTCAATTGGATTTAATATTTTCAAGCTGCCTAGTCATTTGTGAGGGTTCTTTAGCCAATACCAAGTGGTTTAATATGCCTGAAAATATTAGCTTCCTTCTTGATTGATCCTTCCCACTTACCTGGAAACAGCAATTCCCTGGAGCACTGGGCAGGACAGAATTCATACGGCTGCTCTTGCTCAGCTGCATGTTCCCACACCCACCCACCAGTGCTCTTCCCATGCACCAGCCTGCCAGGGCTACTGGGGCCAAGCTGGCATAGGGCTTCCCACCGAGATGGTAACCTGCCCCTCAGAGATCTTCCTACCTGGCCTCACAGGCAGAAAACCCATATGGGTTTCCTGTTGTCTGTGCCCTGAAGTAAGAGCTGGGCAGGTAAACAGCCATGGAAGCAGAAAGCTCACTGCTTGCATGGGACCTGGTTCTGGCTGGCTTCTGTGCAGTCAGCAACCTGTTTCCTACTGCTCCATAAAAGGTCTGGATGTCTTCAAGACCTTGCTCTGGAAGGAGAAGAAGCCATGGTGCTGCTTTCTCAATCAAACGCCAGCAGAGGTGAGTGCCTCCCTGCAAATCCAGCAGTGAGGAGCTCCTGTGCCCAAGGCAGGCACATTCCCCAGGGAGGCAGAGGTCCAGACAGCAGGTATAGCTCATCTCTTCCTTGTTGCACGGATCACTTAGATGAGTTTCCTAAAGTGAGATGTACTTCATTAAACTCTAGACATCAAAATTAAGCTTGTTATCCATTGAAGAGCTAGGTAGCTTGCCAGAGCAACTCAGGTGTCAGTGAGAGACTGGGACCTTCAAAGGGTTTCTATTAACATGGAGGTGACTGGCCACTTGTTACATGCATCAAACAAAGAGATGAGATGCCTGATTGTTGGATGGCTAAAGTAGTGTGAGGTGGATCTGAGCACACCCTTGCTGAGCTCTGTCTCCTCATCTCTGGCAAGGAGATACTAAATATTCTTTCTTCCTGGATGTGCCTTGATATTTCGATTCAGATATTCTTAGGGAGAAACTGTCTTTCACTATTTGTCTCTTCTAACTGTGGGAAAATAAGTGACCTTTAGATGTCTGGCAAGCCTGAAGAAACCCAGAAAAAGAGCTGAAACAGATTAAAAAAGTATCTGATACCTGTTGTTTTACTCAAATAGAAATATTATGTTTGTTAATGAGCTCTTCACAACATTCATTTTTTTTAACCATGGCAGGAAGTTCATTAAAAATAAATAAGTTTAAATATGAAAAATAAGCCCTCAATAATTAATTTGCAAAGCCCAGCATTTAGATATTACTTTTTCTGGATTTTGTGTTGCCTTTAGCTCCTTCATACGTCATAAGAAAATGATGTTGCTGGCATTTTACAAGGGAAGGTCTAGGAGCAGGGTGACTATTTTCCTTTGGCTCCAGAGAAGACCAGCTATAAGAAAGTGATTCAGTGATTCTAAAGGTGCTGAATATATGCAAGCTCAGTGGGAGTGTGGAGTGCTCAGCACTTTTAGACCTGAAACTGCTTATTTAGTTACTTAAATGTATAGCGTGAGGCAGTTGCTTTAGCATTTGTCAGGTTCTTTGCAAGAGGATGGGTTGGTGCCTTGCAAAGATGACTGAGCTATATCTAGATGTGCCATTGACAGGTAAATAGCTGATACTTTCATTGCAGTCTGCAAGGATTGCCTTCTAGGGCTGATGCTGCTGAGAAGATAAGGGGGTGAATGAACCCCACTCTAGCCAATGGCCAAAGACTAACGCTCATGTTCTCAGAGTCAGGTTGACTGCCAGGTATCCTCTAAATGGGGAAAAGGATACTAAATGTCCAGAGGGTCAGGAAAAGCTCAAGAGAGGGACACTGCCTATGCTTAGCATATTCTTGAGGACTTTTAAGCTTGGCATCTTAGCACAAGCTTATTTTTGTCATTTTAGACAAATATCTAGGAAATGCAGTGCTAGAATTCAATACTTAGTCCCTTCTGCTGTGATCTACTGAGGGGCAGGGTAGACAGGTAGGAATCTATTGTTTCTTCAAATGCTGAGCAAAATTTTCAGCATTGATGGGTCAGACTACTAAGACACCACTTAGTAAGTTATTGCTTAGTGCACGGCTGGCAGCACCTGGCATGAGTGAATTTATACAGTGTGAATCAGGTGAGCATTGTGGGAGTAAGTAGACGAGATGTTCGAATGTGACATGCATTTCCAGATGTTGGCTGTGGAAGGTGTGAGAGTTTCAGTTAATATTAGTTTGTGGTTTTTTTAATGTTTCTCTGAGATACATCAATAACTTTAACATAGAGCTTAAGGAGATTTCACTGAGCGTCTGTGCACAATATGTAAAGCAATGACGAAGCACAGGCTGGAGAAGGTCTCGTCCATCCCCTGCATCACAACAGAAGGAGCCGTTGTTGGCATTCCCGGTGAGCACTCCTCTAACCTGTTCTCAGTGATGCCAGGACAGACATCTCCCAGAATCTGAGTAGGAAGTGATTCAGGTACAGTACCAGGTAATCCCAGAAACTACAAATCAATTACAAATTAAACAGTCGGTTTTGGGGCTATCAAGGAGGTATATTTTATGTGCTGAGAAATTGTCATTTCAGCTGTGAAACCAAAAACAAATCATCGCCTCAAAATGGGGACATTTTGAAGCAGTAATGTTATAATCCCGTGATTTCAAGGGTTTTCCAAAGTCAGATATCAAAACCATCCCAGCTGCTAAAGAACATGGACAGCTCATCACCAGGATGCAGAGAAGGAAAAATACTTATGGTTGAGAGTGTGAGATACAAGTATTACCAGGGAGCAAAGCTCATCACAGAGGCAGAATTGTGCATGTGGCACACTGAACAGGGAAGGTGGTAGGTTACAATCACAAAATACCTCACTGCTCTTCTCCAACACAGTTAAGCACATACTTGCTTTTAAAAGCATCGTGTATTTGCCTTAATGTTAAACATGTACATAAGTCTCACATGGAAGCGCCAAGGAGTGGGCTGAGATTTTTCTGTGCTATATTTCCATTCAATTTTCTTTTCTGGAAAATCTTCCACACTGAGATTTGTTATGGACAGTTCAAAGGCTTCCCTGACACTTAATTTTGTGTGTCTCACTTAGCTGGATAAATTGTGAATGCAGATTTTATATAGACTAAGGAAGTAGGATCTGCTCCTCCTCCTCATCTGCCTTCAATGAAGCCATTGCAAGTATAAACACCTAAGTTATTTCTCTAAATTAGACAGTGTGAATACATGGCTGCATCCAGAAAATGTTCATGAAAGCATACTATAAACCTAGTGTCTGAGCCTGGAGAGAGCACTTGCCTGAATAAATATAACTTATTTCATAATCTCACCAAAGCTGAAGAGTTTGCCATCAGTAAAGGTGGTGGGCTGGAGCATTATGGGAAAGTTGGGGGAACAATGCAATACATTAAAACAGCGAGAAAGAACAGATCCTAACTGGTGTGAACAGGGCAGTGAGCAACGTGCTGAAATATCAGAGACACACCATGGGTCAGTGTACAGCACAGGCCAGGATCTGGACACATACACCACGGAACACGGCAGATTGCAGCACTGCTCAAAGCCAGTGTGCCCCCACTGAAATAAATGTTCCCAACCATTTCATCAGTTTTCTGTTGGCTTGAGTTTGTCATCTGGTTCCAGCTACCCCCATGGATTGTGAGATATCTGTGCTGGGTACGCTGAAGTGAGCTCAGCTGATCTGAGGCAGCCAGCTTGGCTCATCTTGACTCCAGCAGAAAGAAAAAGGATTCTCAGAGGACTCTGGCAGGAGCAGATATGAGGCGGAGAAGTGGGAGGCAGCACAGCAAGGAGGTCAGTAAGCAAATAACCACGTGTGCTCTCACAGTAATGAAGTGACTCTTTCTCTGTACTCTTCCTTGATGGGAAGTGACAGCCAAAAGAATCATTACCGGAGATGCCAACTTGGGCAGTACAACAACAGAGAGAAGATTATTGCCTTAACATTGTGCTCACTACAGCTTACAAGCCAATGAGATACAAAGGAAATGAAATGAGCTGACACCTACTTAGTCTCTTCAGAGAAGAATATTTACTTGGGTTTGTCTTGACAGCAGACTCGTAAGATGGTGGGAGGTGAGAGAGGTTCTGGAAGGACCGGGAGAAAGACAGGTCATAGGGTTCGGTGGCAGAAGTAAGGATGTTGTTCACTCGTGGCTTGTCTGGAAAAAAAAACAAAACAAAAAAACAACAGAGAAAGGCATGTCCACAGCGTGCACCAAAACAAGTTGAGAGAGGCAAACCATTCCCACAAACTCCAGCAGGGAGAAGAACTGTAACTGAGCCAGCCTCAGTGACAGGCTGTTGGACATAATTCAAACTGGCATCAGCAGATTGGTGAAAAATGGATCCTGTGGAGTTGTTTCCTTGTCCACAGTGATTAAGGAGAGAAGCAAACTGCTGCCTTGAAAGCGTATGGACCAACCAGTCCTCCTCGCAGTGGGACTGTGAGTCACTCACTTACTGTGGAGGGCTGTGTCACAGTGATGTGGACTGACCCACCACAACCTGCATGAGTTCAGGCAGCATCATCTACCTTCACCCCAGCAATCTGTGCTTTCCACACCCTCAAAGGCATAGGAATGAGTCTGTAGGGTTATTTTAACTGAGGCTTATAATCAAACTGCTCTCTCATCGTGCCAGGTTTCTGATTAATGCTCTGAACCTGGAGGCTCCAAGGCAAAGCTTTTCCATGGCCCCAGGGGTTCTGATGGGCTCTAAAGATGATCATGCTTCCCCTGCACACAGGAAAGTGTGAAGTGGAGCTGTGGGGTGCACATCGGGGTGCAGACAGAAGACAAGGCAAGGTTTGGAGAGGTTCCTGAAGCAGGAAAGGAGGTGCAATCACTGAGGAGTGGAGTGATTCACTCTTCTAATTCACTCTTCTAATTATTTTCATTTTGTTGGTCACTAATGGAGTCTCCAGCCAGTGTCAAAAAGACCACTGTCAGGATGCTGATGCTGAGGGCACTGTCAATAAAGATTAGCAACTTAAAAGTCAAGTCCAGACAATCTGCTGAGTTTGTTTGGTATTGAAATCATGGTCTTTTGCTGCAAGGTGGGTGGAGAATGACCTTTCATCAGCTCAGCCAAAGGATAGGGACATGTTGAATTGTATTTATAACTCCCAGGTGTTCAGATGTTAAAATAGCCAGAGCTAAGAATATTAAAAATAGCAAAAGCTTCAATTACTGGAAGCAAAGCTACAACAGACTACAGTGGGTTCTGTGGGATCTTGCAGCAGTGATGGGATTGAATTAGCTGGATCAAAAGGCCAAGGAGGTAGCCACTTAAGTTGTGGTCTGAAAATGAAATCAGAGGGTTAAGTTCTCTGATACAGCTGAGGAGTCACAGAATGCCCGAGTTTTGGGTTCACACATTCTTGTTGTGCACTCTTCTAAAGTGTGGTCATGAAGAGCAATGCAACATGTGCTCAATACACACTCACATGCCTCAAGACCCATTTACCTCCTCTGAACTGTGGACTGGTTGAGACTAAAACACAGCTTCTGCCCAAAAGTGATTGAACGACGGGGGAATTTCACCTTGACAAATGTGTTGGCTTTGTGCAGCACACAAACATTTGCTGACTTCCCTCATCTCCTACCAAAATTTAAAACAAAATCCACCCAAGTAGAGTACAGATATTTCAGAAGACATTTTTCTAGAGTCACAAATTGAACTGTTTCCTGCTAAAAAAAAATTGCAGGAGTCAGGTCATCTCCTTCCTTCCCTGCTGCCTTTCTCCTGCGTGGAGTCCTGCTTGCATTAGACAGCAGAACATCTTCCTCCTCTCTGAGTGCTCTCATTGCACTACGTCCTTGGTGCTCTCTGTTGCCTAGAAATGGACCTAACAGGTCCCACACGTAGATACAGGGTTGCAGGGCTGCCTCTGTAACTTTTCTCCCACTGTGATTTCCTCCAGATATTTTAAACACTCTGTCACATGTCCTTCACATTACACTCACATTTCTCAGTCAAATACAGGCTGAGACAGCCTTGTCTTCTGGCACAAAGCTGCTCATGATTTCCCAGAGCCAGCTAGGTCAGAGCATTCCTCTGCAGCTCTCAGCAGTGTTACATGTCCAACGCTCAACTCAGAGGCATCTGAACCATTTGGGCTATGCCGTGGTATCTAAGATGCCCACAGAGGGCTGAAATGAGTGATGCAGGACCTATCAGAGATCTGATGCCACCCATGTTTAGGTACTTGAATTACAACTGTCACGTCAACAGGCCCAACACTTGCTCCTTCCTGCCCTTCTGATTCCGTGCACTCAGCTGCTCCATGAACTTCCTCACAATGAAGCTTCCTGCAGAACAAATCACAACAG